TTTGAAACATTAGTGCAGTGGTTTATGTTAAAATAAACCTTTGGGTTAAGTTGTCGCAAGCAGGTTTTTCTTGTGTTTCTTGTGATTTTGGTCTTAAATTTTTATTTCAAGTGGCATTAAAAAGACTTAAAAAGTTTTGAATTTAACTTGCCTTATGCTGTAGGAACCCTGTAAACAGAATCAAAACTAACCAGTGTTTCCTGAATACATCCAAATAAAGAGTCATTAATCCTCATTATGACTTTTTGGTGAAACACCAACTCAGAATGCAGACACAAATAAAAACATGAATAAAGATAAAAATGTAAACGCCTCAGAACATTAAAAGTGCATAGTCACTTTACTTGAAATTGTTTTATTATCACAGCTGTAGCTCACTCTGGTTGGACTCAAAGGTTTTCCAAAAGATTCCTGTGTCCTGTTGGCACATTATTTGTTATTTTGTTTTTTTTTGCTCTGTCTTTTTGCTCAATTTGTTAGTAAATAAAGTCCTTAGTAGGAGCTGGGCATCTCAGAGTAACAAAGTCATCTCCATGCCTTGTATACGTTCTGCCCATCCACTGACCCCGAACCAATCAGCACAATTTATTTCATCGTGCAGGTTGGATTCATATTTACAATCACAGTGGAGGTACGATACTACTCCTGAGGGCAGGGGATCAAGGAAGTAGCCATTAGCACCTTTTAGCCAAGTGTAAAAATAATGAAGAGAAGACAAGATCCGGTTTTAAAAACAAAACAGAGGAATTTCTGTGTTACCAAAGGAACATTGTGTAGTGAAGTAGGAGCTAAAGCAGCCGAGGCGTCTGCTCTATTTAGTGGTCACCATCTGGCTTTCTGGTAACTCTGCAGTACTTCCAGAGGATGGCGCCACATCTGTTTATGTCTGGTTTTTGCACCCTGTGCTGGAAATCTATTTAGGCTCAGAAGGCACAATCTAAACACTAAGCTTTTGTGATTATAACCTTATATTTTTCAGGATTAAAGTCTCTTTTTGTACAGGCGTATAACACGACTATGCATCCCAGCTCCCTTTGCATTTTACCGTATCCAAGGAATATTTGTAGTCCCGCTTCAACAGAAGTCCAGAAGATAGAAGAAAGATGAGCATCAGCAAGGGTGGAGCCGTTCACTCTTTATTTGTAGAGTGATGGAGAAGGTCTGGACTAAAAAGAAAAGAATATGCCACTATGGTTAGGCTGATTTGGGTAAATTTGAAACGGAAACACAGCAGAGGTTTGGCAGACACTAAATCAATAGACCTCGATCCTCTAGAAGCAATCGAAGAAGGAGCAGGGCTTTGGATGTTTGGATTTACAGCTGGTTTCTCCTCCCTGAGCACTGTCCCTGCTTCTGTCTCCAGTTCTACATGGTGATGTGCATCATGTATGTGCTGATGGCCGTGCTGTGGTTGGTTCTGTCTGCTTGCTACTGGAGGAGCCTGCTCAGGATCCAGTTCTGGATCGGAGGCGTCATCTTCCTTGGGATGTTGGAGAAGGCGGTTTACTACGGCGAGTTCCAAAGCATCAGATACGAGGGTTTGTCGGGTAGGTGAGCGATTCAAGTCTTTATCCCTGCAGCTGTTATTCAGAGTAAAACCATTGAGCTGTGGGTGTCCTCCTGCAGTCCATGGGGCGGTAGTGTTTGCTGAGGTGCTGTCGGCCGTGAAGAGGACATTGGCCAGGGTTCTGGTCATCATTGCCAGTCTGGGATACGGGATCGTCAAGTGAGTAAGAGAAGAACAGTTTCTATTATTATTAGGAAGCCTTAAAATGGAGAATAATGTCCTTCACAATAAAAGCAACTAAAATAATTTCTATTCTAGTATAAGCCTAGAAAAATGGTAAATAAAAAGAAAATAAAATGTCATATATCATTGTAATTTAAAGCCTGTTTAGCTGCAGTTATGTTTCTCTTTGCAAATCTCAAATTTAGGAATAAACTGATACAGATTTTTTTTAAGGCCAATAATTTTTTTTAAGCAGATGTAACTTGTAGCACTTTTTTATGTCTGAAGTTCAAAAAGTTTAAAACAGCTGGTTGCCTTTAAAAGGATTTGTTTATGTTTCTGAATAGTGTGAAGGATTGCTGCGGAGTCAATTAGTCGATGCCATCAGCTGGTTTTCTTTAGATGGACCGTGTTTGTGTTTTAGACCCAGACTTGGCGCCTTGATGCACAGAGTCGTCGGGGTCGGCCTGCTCTACCTGCTCTTCTCCATCATCGAGGGATTGCTTCGAGTCAACACCGTGAGTCCCTGAGACCCGTGGGCTCGACTCTAGTCGGTCTCTGGTGTCTGACCTGTGTCTTCTTGCAGGATCGGGGGAACGACAACAGCAGTTTGATTGTGTGTGATGTTGTGCTAGCCTTGACTGACTCCTGTATTGTCTGGTGGATATCCTTTGAAGTTGTCCCCTGATAAAGAGCCTAAATGAAAATGGGAAATGGGGAAAAAAAAAATTTATGAGAAATCAGAATGGTTCCACTGTTTTCCGGTCAGCTAATAAGTCAAGCAGCTTTTCCTGCAGAGCTTCCTACTTGCTTTGCCCCATCCATCTTTCCTTCAGTTGGGACTGATCTTCTTGTCCCTAACCCCACAGCATAATGCTGCCACCACTGTGGGGGGCTGTGACCACTGGGAGCTAATGGGATTAAGCCTCGTCTATCATTGTTAAATGTGCTGTTGTTCGAACTTCAATTTGAAAACAGACGAAGGAATAATCTTGGAAATCCCATCCAACCAATCGCAATAACTATGCGAGCGAATCCCAGACTTAGACTTGAGATTTAGACTTTTATTGTAATTTTGTATACACAGAGTGTATACAAAACGAAATTTAATTTAATACAACTTTTTAGACACTAAATGATCATTTCCATCCTATAAAGTTTAGCAGTGATCAAATGTAAACAGTGTGGGAGAAAAAACATGGTGCAAAAAAAAAACGCACCATGGCTGGTGACTGAACACACTACTATCTCCTTCTTTATTTTTCTCTTATTCTTTCCATTTCTCCCTCTTTTCATGTCTTTCATCTTTTATTCCCAAATCTCTTCTTCTTCCACATCCTTTTCTTTCTTCAGGTTGAAGATGATGTTGCTCTTCTGGCTGCTATTCCTCTGGCTGTGCTCGACTCTGCCCTCTGCTGGTGGATATCCGCTACTGCATTTTACAAACAAATTTTGCTCCTGCCTTTTTTTCTTATTTTCAAGCTTAATCTGTTTTTATGAGTCTTGGCATGTTAATGTTCCCTGTAAGGTTTTTCTGACCAGTGTTTGACCATTTAATCCCAGCTGTATGATTTTAATTTTAGTAGTGATCAGGTAACCAAAAACAGATCGATTCCAGATCAATCTTTACCCTGAGGTCAAAATCTTCTGATGGCCCTTGACCTTTACTTCACATATTTGTGAGTTTGGCTCAGACAATGAAGCTGCTAAAGCTGAGGAGGAACGTGGTGAAGCTTTCTCTCTTTAGACACTTCAGCAACACACTCATCTTCGCCGTCATCGGTGCGTAAACGTCTTCTCCAGCTCCGTATTCTCCCCAAACCTTTTTTTGCCTTTGTAAAGATTGTCTCTGCTGCTTTCAGCCTCTGTCATCTTCATCATTTGGACTGCAAAGAACTTCACCATGTCCCAGTGTCGCTCTGTAAGAACCTTCACCTTCAGAGTCTGCCTGGCTTACTGACGAGATGCATCACAGGCTCTGATTGGATGTTCTTGTTCTTTCTCAGGACTGGAGAGAAGTGTGGATCCAGGACGCTTTCTGGCGCTTTTTGTTTTCCATCATACTGTTGGTCATCATGTTCCTTTGGCGACCATCTGCCAATAATCAGATGTAGGAGCTGTTTTTTGGGGGGGTTTCAGGGTCCATTTTTTTAGTCTGCAGTTTTAAATGAAACCAGTTTTTGATTTTCAGGTACGCCTTCAGCCCCCTGGTGGACGCAGAGAGCGAAGACGAGGAGGAGAAGGAGCCCATGATGAACGAGGCTTTTGGTCAGAAACCTTCATCGCTTTGCTTTCTTACTTTTACACTTTCCTTGCGGTCCCGCAGGATGTATTTATTTTCTGTCTTTTATGATATGAAGCTGAAATTTATAGCCAGAACCAATTTGGTAAACAAATAATGAAATCATGTACTGAGCAAGACAAGAGAGCAGAAAACAAAACTAATCATTCAAATCCTCCAGACAGATTGCAAAAAAAAAAAGTTTTGTCTCCATTTTGTTGAAGGACGTCTGATTGGCTGAAAACGAACGGTTTCATTTCCGTCTGCTTAAAATCAGATTGACTTTGTTTGAAGTCCAAATTATGTTTTCTAACATGTAAATTAGTTTCCTAAACTACAAAGGAAAACAGTTTTTGAAGCTTTTCTGGACGAATTAATCTGCTGCCTTTGCTTTTACGTAACTGCTATGAAAAAAGTAGGAAGAGTCAGAAATGAAGACAGGGTTCTGTATTACCGGTAGTCTTGGCTCATCTTCTCCTTCTCGGTATGTTGTGTTTTTCCTTTAGAAGGGATGAAGATGAGAGGAGCAAAGAACGAAACCAACGGAACGGGCAGACCCAACAAAGTGGTGAGTTTTCTAAAAAGATTGGTTGCTTTTTCTGAGAGACAAACAGCGGCTCTCAGTTTGGGTTCAAAACAAACTGATTCTACCTTTATTCTGTTGAAACAAGGACGAGGATCTGAAGTGGGTCGAGGAGAACATCCCATCGTCTATGGCAGACATGTAAGCCTCCTTTTTTAGCACAATGATCTAAATGAATAGATTCAAAAGTCAGGCTGAACGTTTCCCCCCCTGTTCCCTGCAGGGCGTTGCCCCCCCTGCTGGACTCGGATGAGGTGAGTTGCTGTTCTAATCAATAAGAGCCAGGTAGAACCTTCCTGTTTTTCAGCAACACTGGAAATGCATAGTATTCTTACCAGACCAATACTGATTGGTCAAGACCAGATTCCACTGGTTCCTTTCCAACCACAATCCTGTGCTTCAAAGGTCAGTGGGAAGAACCAAATCTTCATGGAAGGTCAGGACCCCCACAGGGGTCACAACATAGTTTCTTACAATCATTTAGAGCAGATCCCTGAGGAATATGGAGGGCAGAATATATGTAATGAAACACATATAATACATATAAAACAATGTTTATTTTTCTTAGACATGATTCACATAATAAAGGCTATTACATTTAAACATACAATAATTCACTTTCCATTTAAAAAAATAACCAATTAACATTGATAAGTCATTGAATTGAGGCACCCTGGTTTTAGAAGCATTTCTAAGGCGTTTCCTGCCAGGTCTCTGCAAATCTGTACAATCCAAAGAGATCCATCCATCCATTTTCCTTCACCCTTATCCTAAGCGGGGTCGCGAGGGGTGCTGGTGCCTATCTCCAGCTGTCAATGGGTGAGAGGCGGGGTCCACCCTGGACAGGTTGCCAGTCCATCGCAGGGCAACACAGAGACAAATAGGACAAACACTCACACCTAAGGAGAATTTAGGGAAGCCAGTTAACCAAACAGTCATGTTTTTAGACTCTGGAAGGAAGCCAGAGTACCCAGAGAGAACCCACACATGCTCAGGGAGAACATGCAAACTTAATTCAGATAGACTCTAGGCCAGGAATCGAACCCGGAACCCTCTTGTTGCAAGGCAGCAGTGCTACCCACTGCTGGTTTTGAGCAGCCCCAAAGAGATTCAGTCCAGCTAAAAAACATGTTTAAAAAAAAACAAAAAAAAAACTCATCAATGCTAAATATCTAAACCTTTTTAAAACGAGGAAGCTTATATTTCCTTCTATAAGATGTTGATATTTTGAAACAATTTCATGATAAAAATGAACCTAATGACAAAACAATGCTTGAAAATATGGATTACAGGTACTTTAGCTGTCATTCGTCCTGAAGTTCAATGCAGTCATTTCATGAGGAAAAACCTGCATTAGTTGGATCTTTATATTTAACGGTATCAGTTCCTTATAATTGTTTTAGTCAAAGTGTTATGAATTGTTTTTAAAGGTCCAAAGAGCCACAGGTTGCAGACCCCTAATCTAGATGGCCAGTGCAGTGGGCCGATTGAGTCCTGACTTAAGACCAGATGCAGTTGTCTTCAGTCGGCTCTGGTGGGACCATCTGTGTGCAAACCGGCTTTTTATCATCTACTCTACAAGTGTGATGTTTATGAGAGAAGAAGAAGAATGTCCCAAATGCCCAGAAAACACCTGGAAGAAGCAGGATTTGTCACAGATGGTCATTACTGCTTCGCATGTCTGAACACATGTTCTCCACATTGGAACACGGTGGTGGCAGCACTATGCTTTGGGGAGTAGGTCAGAGTTGACGGCAGGGTAGATGGAGCTAATTTGAGGAAGAGAAAAACTGTACGAGACCAGAGAGAGAGGTGGAGGTTCTCTGTCTAGAAGGAAAGCACCCTGAACTTCCAGTCAGACGTTTGCATCAGAGCTGATTAATGGACTAGTCAATGTACAGACATCATCTGAGACCAGACCTCAGAACTGGTTTCCTCAGATGTTCTCCTTCCTGTCTGAATCATCTGGAGATCATCTTTAAAAATATTTAAATCTGATAGAGATGTACAGCTGGACCTCTTCCAAGAGGTCTGCAGACTCCACACTTCTTGGTTTATTTCTGCATTTCAAACTGTAGTTCCCTTCAGCTTCCCCTCATTAAGAGATTAAAATGGATTTTAAAATGGACCTCCAGAACGAAGACGATCAGCCGAAGCAGTTTCAGTTCCAGATTAGTGGAGTTCTGCCTCTGAGCAGCAGGGGGCGCCAAGCGCCCAGAAGTGTCACCATGGTTACATCATGCTGTTGTTTATTCTCCCTGTTGTTGTCATGGCTACCAGAACAATGTGACGACAGCAGACTTGTGTTGCTGCAGCCATCATTAATCGGACTGAGAGCTAGAATCAGAACCGGGTTGATTATTGATCCAGTAAATCCTGCTGCCTTCAGAACATGTCCTGTTTTTTATGTTTGGATTTTAGTTCCTCCCAGACCATTTTCCAGTCAGATTGGATGTTTGTGACGGAGTAATGCTCTAATCTGCAGAGAGCCTCCAATGTGAAATCAGCTGCTTACGTAAGCTGCTGTTTGAGCCGACGTCTAACTGCTCTGAAAATATGAAGTCTGTCATGAGGAGGAGACCGTTCAGGTGGAGAGCTTATCGTCACGCTGTCCATCAACAACAGAACAAACCGTATATTAAAACTCACTGATGAATTTAGAGGGATTGCTTTTCTCAGGTTTCTGGTAGATTAAGCATCACGTTCCTGGGAATGAGCTAGATGAAGATAGAACCTGAGTTTTAAACTGTCCATTTAATTACAAATGATGTCATCGATCCTGATCGACAAAAGCAGAATGTTTCCTTCCTCCTCCTGCTGCCTGGAGCTTCATCTCTGTTTTGTCTGAAAAAATGAATCCCTTTATCCTGGATTTACAGCCTGACAGACACCAAGCGCCTGTGCTGCTTGGTTTCTCCTTCTTTGTGAACCTTTTTGTTTTGTAAAACCTCTTCAGTTGATCAGATACAAATACGGCTCATACAGAGTCTGTCCTCACAGCTTCCAACCTGCTCATTGTTGCTGGATATTCACCAGATGATCATTTGAGTCCTCATTGCTTTCTAATAATCCCATTATGAAAAACATGCAGTAATTATCAGGCCTTAATTTCATTCCTTTCATTGATCTGAGTGTGTGGATTCCTCATTAGTAATCTGGTGGGAACAGTGCTGGGAATGTTACTTTTGAGGAGTTACTAGTTAAAGCTACATGTTAATTATCCCAAAAAGCAACTCGGTTACTTAGTCAGTTACTGCATGACCAAGGTAACTATGTAGATGCATATTAACAATCAAAGGTTGGTGAATTTGTAACACTTTCATTTTATCATAACTTAACTTAGTTTAATTTAATCAAATATTAAAATTTTAATATTTAATCTATTTATGAATGAAAATGAGTAAAAATGTATTTCTGTATAATTCATCAAGAAGCTTCAAAAAGGAAATAAATACACTGTGTGCAGAATTATTAGGCAAATAAGTATTTGACCACATCATCCTTTTCATACATGTTGTCCTACTCCAAGCTGTATAGGCTTGAAAGCCAACTACCAATTAAGTAAATCAGGTGGGTGCATCTCTGTAATGAGAAGGGGTGTGGCCTAATGACATCAATACCCTATGTAAGGTGTGCTTAATTATTAGGCAACTTCCTTTCCATTGGCGAAATGGGTCTAAAAAGAGATTTGACAGACTCTGAAAAGTCAAAAATTGTCAGATGTCTCTCACAGGGGTGCAGCAGTTTGAAAATTCCCAAGTTTTTGCAGCGAGATCATCGAACAATCAAGCGGTTCACGGCAAATAGCTGACAGCGGCGCAAGAAGCACTTTGAAAAGAGAAGACGCAAAATAGCTCCATGAATTGAGAAGGATCAAGCATGAAGCTGCCAGGAAGCCATTAGCCATCAGTTGTGCCATATTTCAGAGCTGCAACATGTCTGGAGTGCCAAGAAGCACAAGGTGTCAATAGGCTCTATGCACAGCTCCACTACTTCCTGAATTTAAGGCAGCTCCTTTGTTTCTTTTCTTTCATTATTGGATGCACTGATTAATCCAGGTGTGTATGACCTAAGTAACTGGCCAGACACACCTGGATTAATCAGTTCGTCCAGTAATGAAAGACAGGAAACAAAGGAGCTGCCTTAAATTCAGGAAGTAGTGGAGCTGTGCATAGAGCCCATACTCAGGGACCTGGCCAAGTTAGGAAAGCCGAAAAAAGGCCACCTTTGAACAAGACACGCAAGACGAAACGTCAACATTGGGCCAAGAAATATCTGAAGACTGATTTCTCCAAGGTGTTTTGGTTTGATGAAATAAGAGTGAGTCTTGAGGGGCCAGATGGATGGGCACCAGGCTGGATCAGTAAAGGGCACCAAGTTCCTAATCGACTCAGACGCCAGCAAGGTGGAGGTGGGATACTGGTATGGGCTGGTATCATCAAAGATGAGCTTGTGGGACCTTTTCTGGTTGATGATGGAGTCAAGATCAACTCCCAGACTTACTGCCAGTTGCTGGAAGACACCTTCTTCAAACACAAGAAGTCACCATCATTCAAGAAAAACATGATATTCATGCAGGACAATGCTCAGTCACATGCATCAAAATACACCACAGCGTGGCTGGCTAGAAAAGGTCTATGATATGGCCCCCTTGTTCACCTGAATTGAACCCTATGGAGAACCTGTGGTCCTTTATGAAATGTGAGATCTAAAGGGAGGGAAACAGTCCACCTCTCTGAACAGTGTCTGGGAGGCTATGGTGGCTGCTGTACCCAATGTGGATCGCAAATGGATGAAGACGCTGACAGAATCTATGGATGGAAGGCTTTTGAGCGTGATGGTGAAGAAAGGCGGCTTTATTGGTCACTGATTTGTTTGTTTTGTTTTGTTTTTGAATGTCGTAAATGTTTATTTCTGAATTTTGAGTTATATTGGTTTACCTGGTGAATATTTGGCCATATATATATATATATATATATATATTTTATTTTATTTTTTTTTATTACGTTGCCTAATTCTGCACAGTAATATTTACCCGCACACACAGACATCCTTATAAAATGGCCAAATCTAAAAACAAAACACACAACTTCCAAAAATATGAAACTTTGATATTAAGGAGTCTTTTGGGTTGTTCGAGAACACAAAATTGGCCCAATAATGAAATTAATAATACAACTTGCCTAATAATTCTGGCCACCGTGTATTTGATGACTATTATATTAACAGCAAGTAAGAAAATAGTCATCACAAGACAAACCAACTTTAGACGACTGGAAAGATATAACATATAAAATGGAAAGAATAACTGCCTCTCTCAATCACAAGGCTGAGCAATTCTGTCACTGGTGGCAGATTTGGGCAGACTATGTAAAACTTAAAAGTTCTGATTTCAGTTTTAGAGACCTAACTTGATTAAATTTCCTTGAAAATCCACTCTTCTATGAGAGCAATATTTCATAATTATTTTATACTGTTACAATACAATGGCCTACTTGTCCTACTTATTTAAAATGTTATAATTAATCTTGTGATGTAGAAGCCTAAGTTTTTGTAAATGATACTTTCTTAAGAATCAATAAAGATAAAAAAAAGTAAATATCAAAAACAAATTATGCAATGTGTTGTGAGGTTAAGACACCAGTAAGTTATATATAATTATATATATATTTTTTTCAATTAAGTGGATGCTAACTGAAAGTAATAGTCTGTCCCCCTCTATAATAACAGTAATTATTTAGTGATAGTAATCACATTTATTTATTTTTTTTAATGATATCTTTCTGCCAAATGTGCCCTCAGTGTTTAACCCATTCCTGATGGAGCAGTTTGCCAACTGCATTCTGGGGCCATAGGTCCCAGTCTGGGTTTTGAACCGGCGAACTTATGTGAATGCCCTGCTCTCTGACCCATGGCCAGCATTATCCAGCTTTATTTATTTAACACTACATCACATAAGATGTCTGAGAACTGGTCTAAAAGCTGATAATAAGGGTCAGATGGAAGGTAAAGTTATTTTATTACTAACTGCTAAAGGTTAAATGTGCAAAGAATTGCAGCTATTAATAATTGGCTTTGGACAATCCTTAAACTGGACTAAAAGAATAAACCTGAGTTTTGAACTAATTTTAATTGAATTTATTACTTTATTTTTCTTCCTCCTCAAACTCAACATTAATTTTTTTCTTACACTTTTGTTCAGTTAATCTGTTTCTCTGACTCTAGGCTTAAATACTGTTGATCAATACTAAAGCAAATTTGGTTGTAAAGGTTTCATCTCCACTGTTCTGGGCTAGAGAAGCTTGGAAGCTGGACCAAAAAAGTTAAAAACAGAACACTGGACTTTGTTTCCAAGTTTAATGATGTTTCGCTTCCCATCCAGGAAGCTTTTTCAATTCAAATGTCAGAAATAGTGTTGAGTTTGACGCTTTATACGGTAGCCCAACAAAGCCTTGTTTTTGTGTAGAAAACATGCAAATTGCAACGGACGAACGGGTCTACCCCTTTGGAATGGAGGTTATTTTGCTTCTTCTGTTAGCCTGCAATGCCCCATACCCGTCTATGTCTCTGAAAGGGAGTCGTTTAAGAAAATTGTTGTCCTGGCTTAATAGGGTGTGGTCTTCTGTTCCCCTGTAAAGAGGTTGGGTTTGCGATGATAAGGAAAGGATCAACTTAATTGCTGCTTTTGAAAAGTCCACCCCCTCTGTTGCTGGAATGAACCATCTGAACGTTGCTTTCTCTGTTTCAGGAAACTCAAACAACCAAGTTCGAGATGTCCAAGATGGAGTGAAGTTGGAAGGGGGCTCATGGTGTGGAAAAAGAGAGAGCGGGTTTCATCAAGTGAAGAAGGAAAGATGAACCGGGGGATGAATGAGAAACAGAGTGATTTTTTTTTTAAGGCAGAAATATCCGTGTGTGGTTCAGCTCCTGGATTTATGAGCTTCATAAGCCTTCATCGTCCAGATACCGGGAGCTGAATCGTCCACAGCTGTACACAAGGATCCCTTTATTTTTTATTTTTATTGCCTGTTTGTATTTATATTGTATGGTTCGCCTCTCTGTATTTACAGTATATTTAAACGAATCTGTTTTCTGCAGCACCGCCCTGCTGGATGTTTGCTGGTCAGGGTTTGTTTTATGGTCACATTAAAGAGTCTGTGTGTCTGGATATTTTTCAACCTGTAAAGCCAAAGGGATGAATCGGAGAGAAAATGTGGATGAATAATTCAGTTTTGTTTTGCAGTTTCAGCCAATAAAGCTTTTCACCTTCACATGATTTTTGCTGCAACTCATTCACTTCATGCCTGACTTGTAGATTCTGTACGCTAAATGGGCCTGATTGTTTTAACCAGTATGCTGCTGACGATTCTCAGTCATCATGGTCATAGTCATTCCAAAATAGTAAAAAACCAATCCACTGGACTTTGTTTCAAAGTTCCAAGACTTGAGATGTGCTTGGGAGAGGGAGCATTTCAGACCCCAACCAGAAAAAAGAAAACGGTCCCAATCACGCCTTCCCACCCTAGTGCCCCCATGCACACCACACAGTCTCTGGAAAGATGAGCAGAAACCCCCCCCCCAAAAAACGCAGATGCACATTCACACGACACTCGCATCCAATAATTCCAGGACCAAGGATTCGGCGGCACTGGTGGACGGTCTTGGGATTATCGGATGACTCAATAAGTCAACCTAAAATCCAGATCAGGATACACTAACCCATCTCCTTCCTGCCTCGGGCCTGGCCCCCGACCCCGCACCCGATAAGCCCCCCCGGGATCGGGGCCCACACACCCCGCCCAGGCTACCCAACCAGAGCGTCCCCGCCCCCCCAATCCTGCCCATCAAAAAAAGAGGACGGCATGGACCAGGACCAAGACAGGGTGCCAGACCCACAGCCCTTCTAACATCCACATCCCACCACCACACACCCCCCACCGGAAATGTAATCCCTCATTAAACATTAAACCACTCACCAAACAAGCAACAAAAGACTTCCAGGCCGGGATCATTCCCACTCCCCCTCCCTCCCCTTCCCTGACTAGCAGGGTAGAGTACAAACCCCTGAGGGGGTAAGCATCTGCCATAAGGTGTTAATGTCCTTGTCCCCCACACTCCCCACAGAACCCTAACCCCCTACACCCTGCCGGGGCACGTGCCCCAGGGACCCCAGACCCCTGGACCCACCCAGCGGCAGCACAGCTACCAGGCAAGTAACCCACGTCCGCCACCACAATACCCCCGCGAGAGCACCGCAAGCGGCCGCTGTAGTATGCACTGACGTGACCCCAGGGCCCAAGGACCCCCGAACCAGCCCCCACGCCCTGTAGGACGCGCACCACAGCCCCCCACTACACTAATTGACGGAGCCGATCAATTGAGTCCAGAGAGGTCGAAGGATGCAGATGCTGTCTCAAGATTAATATGATCCAACAACAGATCTCTAAACTGATTGATGCTGAGTTTTTCCTTACTTTTCCAATTCATGAGGATACTTTGCAATACATAATGCATTGAAGGCCATGCAAACAGATTTTTTTCCCAGAGAGCTTCCCTCAAAATTACCCATCAAGCAAACTGAAGGGGAAGGTGAAATTATACAACCCAGGCACAGTGATAAGTCCTTACATACCTGTACCCAGAACCTCTGAACTGGCGTACATAACCATAACGCGTGAATATAATTATCAAGATGATTGCCTGTGCACTGTGGACAGATGTTAGTGTGCAAAACCCATCGTGAATAATCTTTGACCTGTATAGTGCACTCTGGAGGATTTTGTATTGTATTAGTTGTAAATTGGAGTTTCTAGTCATGTTTAAATTTCTTAGACATATCTGAGCCCAGATGTTTTGTTCAAAACTGATTGATAGATCCTCCTCCCATTTCATAGTAGGAAGAGATTTTGTATCATCCAGTTTAGTAAGTATGCTGTATAATTTAGACAGTAGTTGGGGGGGGGGGGTTAACTCTAGGAACTCTGATATATTAGTTGGAATTTGTAAACCTCCATCAATATGCTTACATTTGTTTCTAATTATAGATTTAATTTGTTCATATTCTAAGAATTTATTTTTGTTAATGCCATATTGCAAATTTAATCTAGCAAATGTGATCAACTCTGTTCCTTCAAATAAATGATCCAGATATGTAATACCTTTATTCTTCCAGTACAGAAGGTTTATCATATTATTGTTTTGTAGAATGTCAGGGTTATTCCAGATGGGTGTACGACTGCACGGGATTAGTGATGACTTCGTCATTTAAAGAAATTCCCACCATGCTGTCAGAGAAGAGCTGATGTTAATATTTTTAAAACATGGGTGCCGCTTGATATTAGAGCTAATAAATGGCAAATCTGAAATTATGATATTACTGCATATTTCCTGTTTTGCGTCTATCCAGGGCTAATCTAAGGTATTATGTTTTTTCCATTTAGAAATATATTGTAGTCTATTTGCTAAGTAGTAGTTTTGGAAGTTAGGTATATCTAGTCCCCCTCTGTCTTTGGTTTTCTGTTGTGTCTTTAAACTGATACGAAGAAAGACATTTAGAGATGGAAGAATCTAAAGATTTAAACCAGTCAGGTGATGGTTTATTGGGATAATTGAAAATAGGTAGTTAATTCTAGGTGTATGTCTTCTTTAGCAAACAAACGTAGACAGATTTATTTAGTCATTTTGTATACACAAGTGTATACAAAAGGAAATTTCATTTAAAACAGCTCTAGACAATTTCAAGTCAAGCATTGAAAACAGTTATAAAAACAGAAAAAAAAATAGTAATATCAACAAATTACTGTATATTTACAGTTCTTTTTTATTTTTATTTTTAAATAAAGATCCTAACTATCCGACTGATTATCTCCTGAACTTGTCTGTTCTGCCGGTACCTTTTAATCTGAGAGAGTAGTGTAAACATGGCAGCCTGTCTGAACTGTTTTTATTCATGACACTTGCAGGTCATCTGCTCTTTCTTTCTCTGTCCACTTCGTCTGATGCAAACCAACATGTCCTCCACCTGTAGCTCCACAAGGAACCACTGAAACGAGCAGAAGTGACCTGATAACCAGCCAGCATCATCCATTGACGCATCCTGACACCACAGAGCATCGTTTTTTCTGTCTGACTGTGTGTTCTGCAGCATTACGGCTGTAATAACATAATCCCAGAGATTTGGTCTGACGGGAAGACAGTATGCTGCAGATTTGAGCTGACAGCCTGGAATTATCGTTACCACACACTCTACAGATGTTAGATGTCGGCTGGAATTGCAGTCGAGTGTCTGAACCTTAAGGTTAGGAACCCTATGAGCGCCATCTTTGTGTTTGGCTCATTTTTATTATTATCATAATTTATATAGAAAATCCGATCCAGAATAACTGATGAGGATGAAACTGGACTGAGGGAGAAGGATTTATCCTCATTTCAGAGGACAGTGCTGTTATCCTTTGGTTGACCTTTGGTTGGCCCTCTGTCTGAGCCAGGTCTCCTTTAATTATCTCTGGTGTTCTGGACCCTTCTGGGAATGTCCTTGCTCATTTTAAGGACAAGTTTGAGCTAGAAAGTGGCATATAACCGCCTACTGATGAGTTGTCGCACGACCAGGTCACTCCTTTTTGATGGAGAAAACCCCAACCTAGCTCTATGTAAAGAAAGTAATCTCCCCCTTTGCCAATTCACAGATAAACCATAGTAAACCACATTTTTACAATGAAACGGAGTTCAACCTGCCAGGACTGTATAGCCTGATAAACCAGACTATATGTGAGATTAAATGTGTATTTTAGTCTGGCCCCGATGAATGAGACATCGGAAGATTGTTAATGAGAACAACCCGTTGTCTTTCAAAACATGTCTGTGCTTATTGGCCCATGCTCTAAACCAGGGATGTCAAACTGGTTCCAGAAAGGGCCGTGTGGCTGCAGGTCTTCTTTCCAACCAAGCAATATCACACCAGACTCCAGTCATCTCATCAAGTCATCTTGTTCAGATTGGACTCACACGGCCCTTTCTGGAACCGGTTTGACACCTGTGCTCTAAACCATTGAGCCCAACTGACTATGGCGTAGTAAGTGTGACAGAAAGCTGGTGGCTGAGTGTAAACAAACAACTTGTCGGTAAGACAGCAAATACGTCCTTCTTAAAAATGAATGAGCGTAGAGCCTCTTCCTGCTCACGTTCAAACGAAAACCCCAAGTCTAATCCTTCCAGAACGGATTTCAAAGCTGAGTCAAACGTGAAAAGTTCAATAGTTGTTGCTATCTTGCTTGTTGTGCTTTCTCCAGCGTCATGCAGCTTTGTCGTCACGCCCTCAAAACCCCGCCCGCTTTGCATCCAGAAATTTAAAACACATCTCTGCGTTGTGATTGGCCGGCCAGTTTTAGGGCTTGGGGCATTGATCAAGGCTAGGCCACTCGCAGGTAAAAATTATTTTGGCCGCTGGCGGGTAGGGCTAGTTTACTAGGCTAAGGACTGTAGGTCCGGAAATATCTTGAACAGGATATGTCTAGTAATAGGACGCAGGCTGAAAGATCTCAAAAAGCTCCACATCATCGCTCCATCTCTAGAAATGTAAAAACAATGAATGAATAATAACTTAAAAGTCTGCTTTTGGTATTTGCTTATAAAGATTTTTAATAAGATTTTTATGTCTGAGACACCAAGGGAAAAACGTAAAAAAAAAAATATTTTCATTTTTAGATGTAATTTGATTTTATTGAACAAACCAAGTTTATGTAATGCTCACTAGAAAGTAAAAGTAAAAAAAAAATGTTTTCAATTTTTTTGAATGGTAAACAAGCAACAATAAAATGACAAATGAGCAAAGGAGAGCATTTATCAGAGGAGCAGCCAAGGCGCCCAGGGTAACCGGAGAACCTCTAGAGAAACAGCTCAGATGGGACAACTCTCTACTGTGGATTCCATAAATAAAGATGTCTCCATGCAGGTTGTGTCTCCTACGAACTACATAGAAAATACAATGAACACTATTGAATGAAGTGACCTGGTCAGAGGACACCAAAGAACATGTTTTTAAAGTCCAGAAGTCACCCTGAACATACTACACTGTCCAACTATCTCAAACAATAATTAGATTAGACTACTACAGAACTGGCAGCTCTTCACCTTGTGGATTTGACATAGAATGAGGATTTATCTAGAATAGGTTGTTCAGCCTACATCTGCTCTTCTTCAGTGGTGTATTTTCCAGTAATTCCAATTTTAAGGAATGGTTCAGATTTCTTGACATATTTATATGTCATCATGAACTTTGT